TTTATGTTATGTGTATATTACCACAAAAAAGAAAAAAGTATTATGTACTTAACAAAGTATGAGTAGTTGTCAAATATGATATAATAATTATATAATTACTGGTGATTTATTTTTTTTACCTGCTTTTTTTTATTATGTTATGTTAATCACCATACATTACATCATTAGTTTTTGGTGTAGTGTTCCATGATTCATTATTTGTGTATAACACCCAGTGCTCCATGCAGAACGTGCCCTCTTTTTTTTTTTAAAGATTTTATTTATTTATTTGACAGAGAGAGCGAGAGAGCACAAGCAGGGGGAGCAGTAGAAGGAGAGGGAGAAGCAGTCTTCCCGCTGAGCAAGGAGCCCGATGTGGGGCTTGATCCCAGGACCCTAGGATCATGACCTGAGCCGAAGGCAGACACTTAACTGTCTGAGCCACCCAGGTGCCCAGAACGTGCCCTCTTTAATATCCATCACTAACCCATCCCCCCACACCCCTCCCCTCTAGAACCCTCAGTTTGTTTCTCAAAGTCCATCGTCTCTCATGGGTTCATCTCCCCCTCCGATTTATGACTGGTGATTTTAAATTTTTATCAGTATTTTCTATTTTTGTATAGTAAAATTTTTTTATTATAGAATTTACAGTGAGAATTTTTTTGTAATGAAAAATTCTTTTTACAGTGGATAACTTCTTGAGGAAAAATCTTTTTAAGGAAAAGAAGCTTCGGTAGTGTATCGTCCTCAAAAGGAAATACCAAGAGGGAAAATTCTGTATGAATTATTTTAAGTTGATGAATTTTAATAAAAGTGCTTGATTTAAATTTTGTGAAAAGTCCATTTTTTAATATTTTGTAAAAAATAAATAATGACTTGCAGTCTTTGTCTAAAATAACTCCTGGAAATAAAGCAAAGAGAGTCTCCTGACTGAGAAATAACATGCGGTAGATATAGCACCAGGCCTCTGGGTGCCGCTGTCTCCCAATCCGTGGCTAAAGTGAAACAAAGCAACCCATTGGCATTCTGACCCAGTGCTCCCCGCCGACTTGTGAAAGGCATCTGGAGTGAATTCCAAACACCTTCTCTCCCACGATCTTTTCCAAATATCTGGATCAGGAACGCCAGGATGTTTAATGACCCAGAGTGAAGTGCTGCCTTTTCTCTCCAGCTCACCTTTGTCATCTGGGAGCCACCATGGCAAGATGTATTAAGATCTGAGAAGCAGCATCAGGAAGAGGTAAGAAGACCTCTGCAGGGAAGGCACATTGCGGGCAGGAAGCGGTTTCCCTTACAGATGTCTTTGTTCAGCCTAATGAACTACACATCAGATGCGCTGTGAGATTCCAGAAGAAAAGCCAGTGGTTTAAAAGTGGAGAATCTGGGCAGAGATGTGCATCTCGGTGATTGGAACTTCGGGTGAGTGCTGGGAAGCCTCTCTTTACTGCCAGCGAGGACAGCAGGGAAGAACTCGAGAATGACAGGCTAGATCTAGCAGATATCCTAAAGGAAGTCTTTAGGCTCTTGAATCTGAAACCCTCCCTGAAAATCCCATTATTGCTTTTCATATAAATGTATTCTCCCTGCATACAAATAATTTATGGCTTTTCATACAGATATTTTGTTTTGAAAATTGTGGGAAACATCTTAAGAGTGGCATAGTTCACTCTTTAAACCCCAGTGTGTTTGGATCCTGCAAGTAATTCTCTATGAATTTATCACATTAATTTTAATAGCCATCTCCCTAGTCCCCACAAGTAAAAGAGATGACTAGGGCAGAAATGGACCAAAGGAATAGAGCTGCCACCACTTAGTGGTGGGGAGCAGTAGGAACAACACATGGCAAGTTATAGGAGATGGATGCTAATGCCAGTCCTCCCATACTGAGCCACAAGGAGTACAGCGGCGCCTACCTGCCCTCTACCACATCCTCTGCATTCTTCAGGTGGTTCCCCACTGACCTAGATGACACCCTTAAGGTAGCGTTCCCCTACACTTACTACATAGTCTCACAGGGCATACAGCAAATATCTACCATCCAGTAATAATAGTACCATCTTTGATTTTGGAGCATGACAGTTGTATCATTCAGTAGAAGAGAAGATTGGAGGCAGTTTAAGGGCACATTTAGAATTCTGATTGAAATGGAGGTTGAGAACTACAGTGCTGGGCAGACAACTTTCAGCTGGCTCTCCAGTCAAGGCAAGAACTCTGGCTGCCCAAGCCAAAACAATGGAGAGAGAAAAGATATTATAGGAAGTAATAAACATACAAACAATTCACCTATAAGAATTACTATGGGGGCACCTGGGTGGCTCAGTCGTTAAGGCTTTGGCTCAGGACATGATCCCGGGGTCCTGGGATCAAGCCCTGCATCAGGCTCCCTGCTCCGCGGGAAGCCTGCTTCTCCCTCTCCCACTCCCCCTGCTTGTGTTCCTGCTCTCGCTGTGTCTCTCTCTGTCAAATAAATAAATAAAAATCCTTAAAAAAAAAAAGAATTACTATGTAATTCTTTCTAAGCTACAGGCAGAAGGAATTCTAAACTGGGAGCAGTACATGAAGTACAATGTCACCACCAGAGCCACCAAGGACAGGCTCTCCCTCTCCTCCAGCACAAGCATCACCCTGCATATCACCCCCATCAACAAAAATGCTCTTGAGCAGGCCTCTTATATGGCCCAAGAGAATGAGAACACCTGCTCAGAGCCTCCATCGCCCACTTTAGTGCTTCTTACCCAGATGTGGGGCCCTCTGTGCCTATTTCTTCCTGACCAGCAACCCAGTACTGCGTGCGTCGTCAGCCAGCGTCAGTAAGTGCAGAGCACGATGATGTTCACTGCAGGCTCCTTGTGATGGTGGACCACCACAACGGAAGTGCACAGGCAGCACTGTGCCAGGAGCTGCAGCCAGAAGTCATGCCCTCTTTGATGTGGCATCATGCCCAGTGCAACTGGCTACCTGGTCACCAAGGTGGATGTCAACTGAAGAGCTTTGCCTGGCTATCCTCTTACATGCTTCAGACCAGCTAATTTGATTCTTCAGCCTAGGGAGGCACAAGAGTGAGATTAGCACTGTGGCCCTGTGGGCAGCAGAGACGCTGCTCTACAGGGCTTGCTGGTCACTGCACACAATACCAACAGTCATCATGCTATTGCTGGTCTTTGCCTACAGTTTAGAGGAGTTGCTGCCAGAACTCGGCAATGGCCTGGTACTTGCTGCCAGGCAGACAGAGCTACAGTTTTACCTGGTTGGGCCCTTGTCCTTTGTATCTGTGCTCTTCTCCTCACAGTGCCTCTGGCCATTACCCTGGTCCTGTGAGGCTCCTCCAGCCCTACTTTCAGTCCGGTCTTTGGTCCAGGCCTAGATTTGGAGTTGCTTCTACTTCAGCAAGTGAGATTGGCCCTATTGCTACTATCTTTTTGTGGCTTCAGATATTGCAAAATCTTAATTTCTTTAACTCAAGAAACATCTTTTAACTGGATATTCTCTGTGGTGCCTGCACTGCAACCTTCAATATTACACTGGATTCAGATATTTACCTGTGAGTTTTAACACTTTTATTTTGTAAATATCCTGTTATAAATCAACTCTGCTTGGTTTTTGCTGTTGTTGAAGGAGGAGAAGCTCTACAAATTCACTTTCTAGTTTCTATGTGTTTTTTTAATTTCTTTCGTTTGCCCAGACAGTCCTGTTGGTGAAAAGTTTGTGCCTATGTGAGGTGTGTGTACATTCTTAAAACTTATATTTTCTGCTAAAAAGTCCTTTCCTTGCAATATTTAAAGAGGTTCACTGAATCTTTAAGTTTCTGCCTTTGGACTCCATATACTTGTTTTGAGAAGCTGAGAAACCTATAGATTTGGTTACACAGGAATGGATATTCTCTTTCCAAGAACTGTTATTGTGACCTTTGTTTCCTTATTTTCTGGACCTTCTCAGTCATGTCCATAGGCTGACTGCTGGTATCTGGCCCAATTTCTTCCTGCAATGTTAACCTCTGGAATGCAGAGAACATTCTTCCCTATCTTTTGGGTAAAGATAAATCACTCAAAGCCTCAAGACATTTTAGTTAGTAAACTTTTACTAATTTTTCAATGAGTAAAAGAAGGAAGGCAATCTAGTTTAAAAATCTTTCTATTAAGAAAACCGATTTCTCTTGGGGAAAATATTAAGTGTGATTTTAGGAGAATGCATATTATTTTAATGGCCTGCCTAAAAATAAAGATGTGGCCATTTCCTTTTCAGTTTTGAAGGAGAATATCACTACCTCTTGTGTCTCTTAAATTTGAAGTCTAAATTTGATACTCATGTGACATTTTCCAATGAAATTCCAAGAGCGCAGTGTTATTCTATTCAAAATATATTACCTTTGAGTGAATTAAAGGTCTTTTGAAACCCACATAATACATAGACACTTCAGAAAAGAGAAAAAATAAGAATATGGGTAAAACACGTCCTTCAAAATTCAAAGGTTTCTGGTAAGTATTCAAAGCACAATGGAAAGAAAATGGACAATCCAATTTTTAAAAGTCTAGCTTACATTCTAAAAGTTTATCCCCTAGTTTTTTCATTCTCCAGTCAAAGGGCAGTTGCTCTTCTATGTGGCCTGAGAAACTGTCAAGTGGTCAAGATACACTAGAGAAGCAGAAGTATGATTTTTGTCCCCTGTGATGATATTACCTGAATAGCAAACAGAGAAAGCAGATAGCTTAGGTATACTGAGATTCTACTGTATATTGCAATTTAGTAACAGTTAGGTATGATTAATTAAATAAACATAGTAGTTTCTCGTTTTCATGCATATATTGTAGAATGAATAACTACTTCCTTGGCAATAAACTAAGACTTAAGGAAAGATAGACGAGGTTAACAAGAAGGGTAAGTTTCAATATTATCTAGGAGTGTAGTAACTGGTGAGGACTCTGGGCGCCGCTGTTCACCAATCTGGGAGATTACAGGCAGCGCGTGCGCACACACACCCCAAAAGAAAAAAGAAAAAAAATAGCTTCTTAGAACCTCCAACACCGCCAGATTGGAAACAGTCTCCCTGAAGCTTCCCAGACCCTACTTCTGGACCACTTTCCGCTCTGAAATCTCCCGAAAATTCGGTTAATTTAGGCTTAGAAGAACAGAGAAACAATACTCCCGGTACCGGACTGGGAGTAAACTACAAAGCGAGAGAGCAATGGTGATTCGGGGGAAGCAGCCCAGCAGCAGCGAGCTGTTCCTGCTGTGCCTTTTTCTGGGGCTGTCGTCGGAAGCTTGGGCCGGGAAGATCCGATACATGGTGCCAGAAGAGACAGACAAAGCTTTCTTCGTGGGCAACATCGCTGAAGACCTGGGGCTACAACCTCAGGAGCTCACAGAGCGCAGAGTTCGCATCATCTCTAGAGGTAGGACACAGCTTTTTGCTCTGAACCCTCGAAGTGGCAGCTTGGTCACAGCGGGCAGGATAGACCGGGAGGAGCTCTGTGCTCAGAGTGTGCAGTGTCTGGTGAGTTTTAACATCTTGGTAGAGGATAAAATGAAGCTTTTCCCTGTTGAAGTGGAAATAATTGATATTAATGACAACGCTCCCCAATTTCAGTTAGATGAAGTGGAATTTAAAATGAATGAAATAACTACTCCAGGTACCAGGATCCCTCTACCTTTTGGGCAAGACCTTGATGTGGGTATGAATTCACTACATAGCTACCAGCTCAGCTCCAATCCTCATTTCTCCCTGGATGTGCAAAAGGGAGCTGATGGATCCCAACAACCAGAGATGGTGCTGCAGAGTCCCCTGGATAGGGAAGAAGAAGTTGTGCACCACCTCCTCCTCACAGCCTCTGATGGGGGTAACCCAGTCCGTTCAGGAACCCTCCGCATTCATGTGCAGGTGATAGATGCAAATGACAACCCTCCAGCATTTACTCAAGCACAGTACCACATGAGTGTCCCAGAGAATGTGCCACTGGGCACTCAGCTGCTTATGGTTAAAGCTACTGACCCAGATGAAGGAGCCAATGGGGAAGTAACATACTCATTTCACAATATAGACCACAAAATAGCCCAGATATTTCAGTTGAATTCTTACACAGGAGAAATATCAAATAAAGAAGCCCTGGATTTTGAAGAATATAAAATTTATTCAATGGAAATTCAGGCTCAGGATGGTGCAGGCCTCATGGCCAGAGCTAAGGTGCTGGTCAAAGTTCTGGACATAAATGATAATGCCCCAGAGGTGACCATGACCTCTGTCACCACTTCAGTCCCAGAAAACTTTCCTCCTGGAGCTATAATTGCTCTTATCAGTGTGCATGACCAGGACTCTGGAGACAATGGTGACACTACATGTTCCATTCCTGGAAATCTACCCTTTAAATTAGAAAAGTTGGATGATAATTATTACCATTTAGTGACAGAAAGAACTCTGGACAGAGAACTTACCTCCAGGTACAACATCACAGTAACAGCAACAGATCAGGGAACTCCAGCTCTATCTACTGAAACCCACATTTCACTGCAAGTGACAGATATCAACGACAATCCCCCTGTTTTTCCCCAGGACTCCTACTCTACCTTCATTCTGGAAAACAATCCCCGAGGTGCCTCCCTCTTCTGTGCAACAGCCCATGATGCCGACAGCAATGAGAATGCACTAGTCACTTACTCCTTGGTGGAGGACACCATCCAGGGGGCACCTCTGTCCTCGTATGTTTCCATCAACTCAGACACTGGCGTTTTATATGCCTTGCGATCCTTCGACTATGAGCAGTTCCGGGACCTTCAACTGAGAGTGATGGCGTGTGACAACGGGGACCCACCGCTCAGCAGCAATGTGTCGCTGAGCCTGTTTGTGCTGGACCAGAACGACAACGCTCCGGAAATCCTGTACCCCGCCCTCCCCACCGACGGTTCTACCGGCGTGGAGCTGGCGCCCCGCTCCGCAGAGCCCGGCTACCTGGT